ATATAGGCTTCTTGCACAATGTGGGGCCCAGATCAAAGCTGCTTCTTCCCACCTCAAGATCTGGACTAAAGGTAAGTCATCCTACTTGAAAGGTCTGGATTAGAAGTAGATTCTCCTACTTCAAAATAAGCAAAAATTCCCTCACAGATAACCTCCACTTCCAGATGTCGTCAAGCTGACAAACAAGAATAGCCATCACAGGCATTGTTTTAGGATTACTTTCTTAAAGAACCCAGACCCACCTGCCAAGGGGTAGTCCCAAGCACAAAGTGCTGGGGCCATCCCACACAGATTACTAATTAAGAAAGTACTCAAGCCTGGTGGTGGTGGCACTCACCTTTAATCCAGCACACATGGTAAACCTTATGAGCCAAGAATGGCTGGGCCCCACCCCAAGATCAGGCCACAAAATCCCTCCAATCCCGGGCCACCCTGGACAGCTCTACTCCGACCCCCAAGAAGCCCCAAGAACTTCTGCCTCCTGCTCAGTTCTTTGCTGCTTCTCACCAAACAGAGGCAGTCACCCTCTTGTGTCTTTCCCGGTTAATCTCTTGTATGTGGTTTGTTGTGCAGTGTGACTTTATGGTGTTTCTTGGCTTCTGACTGTCAGGAAACCTTTCCCTTCAGAGCTGTAACACTTGCGTTAGGGAAATCTTCCCCCTTAGAGCTGCAAAACGTCCACTAGGGAAGCCTCCCCTCAGAGCTGTAACACTTAAACTCAAAAACCAAAATGGAGAGAGAGAAAGAGTACCCTGCAGGCCTGCCTATAGTCCGATCTGTTTGTTTCTTTGTTTTTCTGGTTTTTCAAGACAGAGTTTCTCTGTGTAGCCCTGGCTGTCCTGGAACTCACCTTGTAGACCAGGCTGGCCATGAACTCACTGAGATTTGCCTGCCTCTGCCTCCCCAGTGTCGGGACTCTGGCTTATGACTTATGGAGGCATTTTCTCTATTGAGGCTCCCTCCTCGCCAGTGACTCTAGCTTGTGTCAAGTTCACATAAAACTAGCCAGCACTAGCATATATCCAAAGGATACTTCATCCTATCACAGAGACACTTACTCAGCCATGTTCATTGCTGCTCTATTCATAATAGCCAGAAATTGGAAACAGCCTAGATGCCCCTCAACAGAAGAATGGATAAAGAAAACGTGGTAAACTCAAACAATGAAGTATTATTCAACCATTAAAAAAAAAAAAAATGAAATTGTGAAAATTTCAGGCAAATGGATGAAACTAGAAAAAAATCATCCTGAGTGAATATCCCAGATCCAGGAAGACAAATATGGTATGTGTTTGCTTACACGTGTTTATTAGCTCTTACATCAATGATATCTCAGCTACAATCCATAAACCACAGAGGTTAGGTCTAGAGTAAGGGACTAGGAGGACATATGGATCTCATTAGGAAAGGGAAATAGAGTAGATAGTTATGGATGACAATGGGGCCTGGAATGGGAAGATCTAATGGGGAAACCAAGAGAGACAGCTAAAATTAAGGGCCATTTGAGTAGTATTGAAACCTAATACAGTAGAACTTCCTAAAATACACACATATATGAAGGTGATCTAAGTGAGACCACCGAACTGGAGAGACAGCCCCAACTGGCCATCTCATGTCATTAAGTAAGTTTCCAGTCCTGGGATTAAGTATCATCTAATTGAGTTCAAATGGACCCATGGGAATCCACAAACAGCCCAGGCTGTTGCCGAGACTGTAGGTTGCTCTCCACAAACTGACAGCAAGGCTCCATTGCTGAAGACAACACCTACATTACTCATTGAACATGGAGAAGTCAAGCTGATGCCTACATAGAGCCTTCACCCCTGTGTTCTAGTGTCTTTGGTATAGGAATGTACTCTGCATGCTACCAAAAGAGAAACCTAAACACCAAGCCAGCCACAAACCCTCTTGTAGACAATGGTGTCCTGCACGAAAGATAAGCTATTTTAATGGTGGCAAAAAGCTTGTGGGAGTAACCAGCCAGTATCTCCACAAGACAGAACCAACATACATCACTGCTCAGTTGACCAAGAACTTGAGACTATAGCCCACGGGCCTAGAATAAAACCAACCACTGTTCTGAAGAAAGAAAGAAAGAAAGAAAGAAAGAAAGAAAGAAAGAAAGAAAGAAAGAAAGAAAGAAAGAAAGAAAGAAAGAAAGAAAGAAGGAAAGAAGGAGGAAGGGAGAGAGAGAGAAAGGGAGAGAGAGGGAGGGAGGGAAAGAAGGAAGGAAGGAAAGAGAGAAAGAGAAAGAGAGACAGAAGAAAGGAAGGAAGGAAGGAAAGAAGGAAGGAAGAAAGAAAAAGTTTTGGGTTTTCTTAATAATTTAATTTAATTTTGTGTACATTAGTGTTGAGGTGTCAGATCCCTTGGAACTGGTATTACAGACAGTTGTGAACTGCCATGTGGGTGCTGGGAATTAAACCCTGGTCCTTTGGAATAGCAGACAGTGCTCTTAACCACTAAGCCATGTCTCCAGTCCCAAGTTTTGTTTTTTAAAGAACTATTATTTTTTAAGTCACAATCAAAGGACTCCTAATGACATTTTGCTATACTCATACATCAGTGTCTTGCTCAGTCATCAGAGAAGCTTGCTCCTGCAGCAGACAGGAACAAATGCAGAGACAGACATTAGGCAAAGGGAGAGAGACAGACAGACCTGGGAACACTCAGCCCTAAGGGGGTCACTCCCCTCAGGGCTCATGGTATGCTATGGAAGTACAAAGACTGAATGCCAGGGTGGAAGACACCTAGAAAACAGGCCCTCTCAAATCAGTGGGTCAAGCACATAAGAACTCGCAGAGACTGAAGCCGCAAGCACAGGGCCTGCGTGGATCTGCGCTGGGTCCTCAGCGCATTTATCATGGCTTCCATCCAGTTTAGTGTTTTTATGGGATTCCTGAGGATGTGAACAAGTAGGTCTGTTTCTTGTGCCTTCTCTTGGCCTCGTTTCCTTCTGTTTGTTTGTTTGTTTGTTTGTTTGTTTTGTCCAATTCAGCAGTGTTAATTTTTGTTTTATATTTTATTATTTAAAAAAAGAATAACTGGGGCTGGAGAGATGGCTCAGAGGTTGAAAGCACTGGCTGTTCTTTCAGAGGTCCTGAGTTCAACCACATGGTGGCTCACAACCATCTATAGTGAGATCTGGTGCCCTCTTCTGGCCTGCAGGTGTATATGCAGACAGAACATTGTATATATAATAAAAGAAATAAATCTTTTAAAAAAAAGAAAAAAAAAGAAAACCACACTTAATTTAAAAAAATAATAACTGGGGGAGGGGCGGCTGGAGAGATGGCTCAGCGGTTAAGAGCACTGTCTGCTCTTCCAGAGGTCCTGAGTTCCATCCCTAGCAACCACGTGGTGGCTCCCAACCATCTATACTGGGATCTGAATCTCCTGGCGTGCAGGTGTATATGCAGCCTGTATAAACCTATATATAAGCTGTATAAACCTACCACAGTGACTAAGCTAGTCACTAACAGATGCATACTTGGTACATATTTTTAAAGGTTCCATATATGGTGGGCTTCCTTTATTTCATGCATTCACTTGACAAATGAGCCCTTCACAAGTCTGGTAACTAAAACCTGGTTGTCAAGAAGCCTTCACAAACCGGGAACTTGGCATGGGCAGCGGACTGTGCCGGCAGCTCCCTACCTCAGCTGTCGTAAAGCAGAGCTGGTGCTAGAAAGGGTGCGGATAGTCTTTTGGCCTCTGTGAGGGGTTGCCAGCCAGAGTGCTAGTGTGATCCAAATGTTGGCGCGGCTTACCTGCTCCAGGTCACTCAGAGGCTAGCTGGGCAGCCGCGAAGCTCAAGCTTAATGCGCACCCTAAGAACAAGACCAGGCCCATTAGCCCCCAGCAGGAAGACGGTGAGTCTCTGCAAAGTGAGCACAGGGCTTCACTGAAGCTGCTCCAAGCTGCTCTCTCTGCTTGCAAACTGGCTGATTTAATGGACACGGTTTTAGTTGAATCTTTCGAAACCAAGGAGTGATCACATTCTAGCCTCTACTCCACTTTCTTCAGTGTTCTAAGACTGACAATCAGTCTTCCAAGTTTAACACGAGTGTCATTTTCCACACTATGAGCAGTCACGAGCTTTCCAGTGTACGGTGTGTTTGAACAGCCAGCCACCGCCCTATCCTAGCTCGTACATACATTTTCTGTTCTGCCGAAGCAGCTTATACCGAAATGACGGGCAAGGAAAGATTGTCTCCATTCTTTTAACTCGAGCTCCCTTCTCTCCCACCTAGCCCTCTCGTGCACTCTCTCCCGTCGGTCACCAAGATCAAGCCCGGAGGATCCAGTTGCTAAGAGACAGGACGCTGAGAGGGTGGGGACGCCGCACTGCGACAGGCCCGGGACCCGAGGCCGGAGGGGGCAGGGGCCGGGGCAGGCGAGGCGGTGGGCGGTGCTCCGGGGCGGGAGCTCCTCGGTCATTGGGCCGCCCGCTGCGGCGCTGGCCGGCGATTGGCCGGGCCGCAGGGCCGACGCTCCGCCCCCCGGCACGCGCGCGGGGCGGCCGGCTCGCGGGCGCGGGCGGG